AAGGCAGAGTCAGAAAAATATGAGTTTGAGAGGAAGGGGTAGTATGACCTACAAAGAGATTGAGCTCCCTGGGTCCTTTGGTGGGTGGGAACTTTACAGATCCTGTACATGAGAGGCACCTGCCCACAACTCAAGTGCAGTGTCCCAGGGCCCATGTGACTTGAAGTGGGGATGGCCGTAGGTACCAGGGAAAGACGGACCCTGAGCATGAGGGTGTGGTAGCTACCACCAAGATTCCCGTGCCCAATTTGCTAGAGAAAAATGAGTCCTAAGAAAGAAGCATCGAGATTTAGATTATCCTGTAGGAATCTGTCCAAGGGACTTTGGTCAGTCTGAACATATGATTTGTCAATTAAATGAGAAGCATTAGAATCACTTAGAGAACAGCTTAAGAAAATTAAATCATTTTTTAAAATTGTAATTTTTAGTTACAAAATTAATCGTAAATATATATAGTATAGTATATAGTATAGATAGTATATATATAGTATATAAATATATATACTATAGTATATAGTATAGATAGTATATATATATAGTATATATATATATAGTATATAATATAGTATAGAAAGAAAGAAGAGAGGGAGAAAAAAAGGAAAAAGTAAAGGAAGGAAGAATGAATTAGGAATGCAGATAAAGTCATGGTCCCCATCTCAGCCTTTTTAGGTTTAAACATTGCTCTGACTCAGGTCTGTTGCACGCACTTGCGCGTGCGCGCGCTCTCTCTCTCTCTCTCTCTCTCCCCCTCCCACATACTCTTTCCCCTTTCTAGGCTACTAAAGCTAAATATCTTATGTGGTATTTGCATACTGGTTTCATTATACATATGCATATGCTTCAATAATGTTACTATATTGAACCATTTCCATATCTTGATTTACCTCATCCATTTTGACTGTTAAATGATAATAGTAATTATTGTTGGCAATTATTTAGGTTTCCCAGGTGCCAGACTCTATCCTTAGTGCTTTACTATTAGCTTATTGAACTCATAATGGTCAATTTAGGGAAAAAAAACTGAGCATTGGAGAGAGTTGCCTAAGGTCAAAATCATCCAAGATTCCCAGCCAGTCTACTCCAGAACCTGTGAGCAGAAGCACCAAACTAAAACAGAGTGGAGCCTAGTGCATGAATGGGCCGTGATTGATTTAAAAATTCATTACGGATGTACATGTAGGCTTTTCAGGATTTGATACGACAAACAGCCAATTTTTGTAGACAATAGGACAAAAGAATTTAGTGGACATTGGGATATGATGGGCCAGTTTCCACAGATGACTAATTCTTTTCAAAAACCAAGTGTAATGTATGTTCAAACTTACTTAGCTTTCTGAGAAATCATGACTTTTCCTCATAAACGATGGTAATTAACCATATGACAAACTCCCTGTAATTAAGGGATAACTTGCCGGCATAAAAGTAAAGAATGCTTGTATGCTGTAATTACTCTGTAGCTTATAGTTTATCAAACATGTACTTTGAACAGAAAAGGTTATATAAGCACATAACTTCTAAAAGAAATCCCCTATCTTCTCCACACAAAAGTGATAGCCAAAAACTGATAGCTTCACAAAATGAAGCTGCAATATTGGGTGTGCCTGAATCCCTTACTCTCTTTGGGGGGCCAGCTTTTAGGATCTAATGTCCCTCTCCAACTGTCAATTATGAAAATCAAAGTACCGCAAAGGATTTTTCATTTACTTGTTTACCAACAGGAACTATGATGAAAACAATACAGGAAACCCTCACTTAACTTTGTTGATAGGCTCTTGAAAACTGTGACTTCAAGCCAAACAGCATGTAACAAAACCAATTTTACCATTGGCTAAATGTAAACAAGAGTTAAGATCCCACTGCATATTTCTGGTCAAAAAAATATCTCCAAACTTTTAAATAACCAACAGTTTACATATTCAACATTGAAATAAATGTGAATATACATACATTTGAGGATAAACAACAACAACAACAAAAAAATGCAACTAAAATGATTTACCCAAATGTAACAGTTCAGAGTTGTGGGTGTCAAAACCTATCCCGGGAGCTCAGGGCACGAGGCAGGCACCAAGTCCGGCCAGAAATCACCCATCATGGGACCACGTGTGGCCAATCTGCCTAACATTTGAGGCTTTGGGAGGTGGGAAGAAACTGGAGTACCCCAAGAAAACCCACCCAGACCTGGGAAAAATGCAAACTCCACACAGACAGTGGCCCTGGCTGGAAATCTTTTTTTTTTTTTCTTTTTTTTCTCATCAATGTTGGATAGAACATGTCAGATGAAAAGATGAAATGATGTTGCTCAGGACTGCTGTGTATTTTTTCAAACACTCCTTATAAAAAGGAAAGAAAGATCTTTGAGGCTTCCCCCAAGTGGTGGCCTCCCTCCCTTTCTGGCTGATGAGCACAGATACGTGTCCTCTCGGCAGCAGAGTTCCTTAAGGAAGCCTGAGATGAATTCCCACCACCTGGCTGCGCCATCTTCCCGCGGTTTGTGTGAGTTCCGGGGAGTGGGCAAACAGCAGGCACCATCAGGGAACAGGAAGAGGAAGACAGAAGAGGACGCCGGAGCACAGCAGGGTGTGTGCCAATGCACTGTGGTGAGCATGGGAGAAGAAATTAAGGCTCAAACCGTCTTGATTCCCTAACTACAGAGGAAAAGCCAAGCACAAGAATTTGTCAGCCAACAACAACAAAAAGATTAATGAAGAAGTTGAAAAACACTCAACTCTGGCAATTGTGAGATTCCAGTAGGATACTTCTGCTTTTATCAACTAATATGTTAACATGGTTAATAAAAATGAACTATCATAAAATCAACAACAGGAATTTTTAAATCATTTAATATATGTATAGAATGCTGTAATGGCATATAAGAATATTTGTGGCAATGCTAGGAAGAATCCTCATGCACATAAACATGTTAAAAAGCAGACGATTGTGAGTATTATTAGTAAAGGTAATTTCGAAGGCATATAAAATGAAAAAGGACTCTAATTGTTAGTATGACTGTGTATTTCATATATGTTTGAGATCTCTTTCTGAATTCCACTGCTGTCTATATTTAATGAAACAAGATCAAATTTTGTACATATTATTCAATTCTTAAAACATTTTCTCACATAGGTAGGAAAAACATTACATTGTATATTTTTTCTCTGCTGCTGATCAATGATGTAGAATTTACTCAGCCCTTTGGAAGTTCAGTTTTCTTAACTGCAAAACGGGGAGATTTATTCTAATAGGACATCAGCTAATCCACTGTAGAAGAGAATTAAAATAATCCAATGGCTTAGAGGACAAAGTAGTTCATTTCTTTCTTAGATCTTGCTAGAGTGGGTATGTGAACTCTGCTCCATGAGCTGACTAAAATTATACTTTGTCGAGCATAGATGTGTTTTGATAAAATTTATATAAGCCGTCAGCACACGACTTCACCTATACTGATGGTCATTTAATGGTAGCCATTATTAGTAACATTATTGTAACATCATTATTATTTAATGTACCTCTATCCTTAGCTGAATGCTTGAATTCCCTCCAAAGTATCATGGATAAGTCATTATTTAGTTATTCTGGAATCCCCATAGTGAAAGGAAATTTCATCTCTCTTATGGGTGCCATTCCATTTTCAGAAAGTTTTTTCTTCTTTCTAGACATTACTTGTCTTCTTAGACCCACTTTCCTTCTTTTGTTATATCTCTGACCTGTTCCAGAGCAATTCTCTTGTCTCTCTCATAGAACAGTCCTTGGGATACCCGTGGAAAGCTATTGCTTCTTTCCTGAGTTTTCTTTTACTCTAGACTAATCATTATTTTATTCTTCCAAAAGTCCCCCCTAATTATGACATTGAGTCAAGATACATCCATTCGCTCACTTAGCAAATATTTATTGAATGCCATCTATTCTATCAATGCCCACTTTAGGACTGTGTGGTCAAGGTCAGTACACAGTATTCCAAGTTGCTCTGACCAGAGCTTTAATCCGATTACAAAACATTTCTTTTAATTCTAGTTAATTGTTAATTGTTTCTTATTGGAGTCTCTCAAAAGAGTTTTTGTTCTTTCATTGCATATATTATCTCTCATGAATTCACACCATCTGAATACCTGAGAGGCATGAAACTGAACTCTTCGAGATGTCGATCAAAATGTGGAAACGAACAGGTCTCTAGTAACTTCTGAGCAATCATTTTAGTCACAAAGACAAATACCCGCATCAACATTCAGGAAATGTTATTCCAGCGAGACAAGAGTCTAAAGGAGAGTTTTGGTCAGGTTTCTTTGCTCACTGCCATGCTCCAGAGGTCCTCAACCTGCCAGTCAAAGTGCTGCCTGATCTGGCTACATTCAGCCCAGCCTCACCTTTGGGACAGCATGGTAGGTGTTTTCCTATTGTCAGAACTTTCTGCATTGAGGCTGGGCGTGGTGGCTCACACCTGTAATCCTAGCACTCACGTGAGCCCAGCAGTTTGGCCCTGGGTGGCTGTTAGCTAGGCTAACGTCATGGCACTCTAGCCTGGGTAACAGAGTGAGACTCTATCTCAAAATAAATAAAATAAAAAGAACTTTTTACTTTGAGATTCAGCCCTGATTTTTCGTCAGGCATTATACTAGGACCTAATCCTTTTCTCATAGAAAGGGAGCATGGAAGAAATGGAATATATTTTGTGAAAAATGCATAGCTTCTCAACTAAAACTATCTTGTTGTTTTTTCCCACATGTGAGACCAGTGCACAATGTTAGTTATTTAAAACCTACAGCAAAGTACTAAACGGATTCCTTGTAAGCTCTCAAATGAGGGATACAAAGAAACACTGTCAACGTGAGATGCATTTTCCTAAGGTGATCTGTTCAGTGACGAGATTCTTACTAAATACCACATTAAAGCCTGAGGTTTAAGGAAATCAACAGAGACTGTGCAGATGGGCTCCATATATACACGCAGAAATACTCACTTGCTCTAGATAATCACATTTTAGAGTTTGAATTATGAATCACCTGTACAGATGTTACCTTTTCCAAAGGACTCTCTACTCGAGGAATGCTGATCATCGGCATCTGTGCCAGATTATCCATGTGTATGTGCTCATTTTCTGGTTGTCTTCCTTTGAAATTGTTTACCACGCATACGACCTAAAATTGTGGAAAACAATTGCAGTTAAATCAAAACTAAGCTCCCTATGACACTATCATCACCCTTTTGAGGTGCTTAATAAATCCTAACATGTAATTGAACATTAAAGTGACTTAAACGTTACTTATATAACTTTATATCCAATTTATCTTGTATAAATTTTAATAGCTACGCCAGTGGAGTTATGTGCAGGAAAATCCCCCCATTAATACGTAGCTCAATTAATAACAACGGTTTTATTCTTCCAAAATTTTCATTGCATTATAGTCAATGCTCACATCAATCCAAAAATAACACCATAACCTTATAAAAATTCATAGCAAGCTAACCTTTCCCTAATGTGGCTAACCTACAACTTAATTTAAATGCTAATTATTTTCTATTGCTTCAATATCATCACATTCATAATAAACCTTCTACAATTGGCACTCTCTAATTTAGTTGCATCCCTGTAATTAACCCAGTTTGTCTTCTGTTATTGTGTCCCATATATACTTGGCATTTCAACAACCGCGTACTGGGGCTATTACTGAAATAGAAGACCCTTTACATAAAATAAACTGACCCTCGTTTCAATGGATTATACCCCATAGGAGACAGGATTTGAACTAAACCAGGGATTCTCATACCTTAGTGCGCATAAAAATTAAGTTGCTGTTAAGAAATGCACATTCCTAAGCCCTCCCCTAAAGATTCTGATTTAGTAAATGAAGAATAAGGATTAGGAATTGGAGAAGCTTGTGATTCTGTTGCATCATATTTTTAGAAATAATGAGTTCCACAAACCAGTACAATTAGTTTCTATATTGACTAGTGGCATTTTGGGTTTTTTTTTTGAGACAGAGTCTCACTTTGTCACCCATGGTAGAGTGTCATGGCCTCATAACTCACAGCAACCTCAAACTCCTGGGCTTAAGCAGTTCGTTTGCCTTTTGCCTTAGCCTCTCAAATAGCTAAGACTACAGCCCACCACAAAGCCTGGCTATTGTTTTTTTAAGAGATGAACTCTCGCTTTGGCTCAGGGTGGTCTAAACTTGTGAGATCAGGCAATCCACCTGCCTTGGTCTCCCAAGTGCTGGGATTACAGGTGTGAGCCATGGCACCCTGCTGACTAGTGGTGTTCTTAAGGCATTCTTAAGTTTTCTGTTTCTGGGTCTTATTTTTTTTTTTTATTATAAATCAAAGTACAGTGTTTATTTACAGCTATAACCTAACATTCATTTTGTTTAACATGTTTAAACATTTAAACATATACATTATACATAAACATTTAATTTGGTTAAACATTCAAATGTTTAATATGCAACTGTATGTTCACATTGCGTGCTTTCACAAAAGCTCCATTAGAAATCCTTATCTTTAATAGGACTCATTACGGAATATTTTCCAAGGCCAATTAGATCATAGTTATTCTCTGGTTTTTAAATAAAATTTACAAATTTATAGAACAATAGCACATACTAGGAGACTTTACATCAGAAAAATATTTCCTCAGAAATTGTTATCTATTTCTTCTTCCATTTCCTGGAAGAATTAGAGATTGGAAGCATAGGTCAAAACCTGGTGATCACTGGACACCTCAGTTTGACCCCTGCCACTAAGATCTTGAAAGTAAGGAATTGGAAGGGCTTGGAAATGGATAGGTGAATAATCCATTAATAAATAATGTTGCCAGCTTTATGACCCCACAAAGACTGACAGATACTGATTGCCCTCAAAATAGGGTCAGCAAATTTTGTCTTGGAGGGCAAGAAAGTAAATATTTTTGGCTCTGCAGGGTTATGCCTCTGCAACAGCTACTCAACTCTGTCTGACCTTTGGTGAAAAAGCAGCCACTGAAAGTTCACAAATGAATCAATGTGTCAATGTTCCAATATAACTTTCTTTACAAAAACAGGCAGCAGGCCAAATTTGGCCTGTAGTTTGCTGACTAACCACTGTTCTAGAATACAAAGGATATAATCACAAATTTTAGCCAACAACAACAATGAAACAATCAAGATGTTTCACATCTATTCCATGAAACACACACAAACAAATATACCTATGCTTCCCTTTTTATTGGTATTATAAATTAATGGTAAATTGGGTGATTAAAAAATACTGATAATTCTTCTGAAGTGAAATATGTTGAAATAACTATGTACATAATACAGAACTAATGGGATGAAGGAAAGTTCATCTAGAGTTAATATGGGCTTCTAAAATTAGTGTAATTTTTAAGTGTTATTTAGGTATAAAAAAACTCTTTGAAAGGATGTATTGGCTATCTGTCTTAATTGAAGGTCAGGATAATGCAACTGAAACAGCTGAAAAATCAGATGTAAAATCCTTAAAAGCTTAACACATAGTAGATACTTATTAAACAGTATCTATTAGCAAAATGAGATTCTTCATGACTTATTATTTAAATTGTTCTAAGGAGGGAAATTGCCAAAACTTCATTAGAATCATATTACATATTTAATAAGTCTGCTAACATTCCTAAGTATGGAACTGATTTCCATAAAAATGCTGACAAGAAAAAAGTAGGGAGACCTGGGTTTTGATCCTGCGCATGCCTGGGTATACATCACTTGGACAGGTCCCTGGGTCTTAGTTTTCTCATTCAGAGAATGAAGAGATTTACAGTAGGTCACTAAGTTGACTTCATTTCTTTGGTTGGCAAAGGTATAACAAGTTCAACAAAAACTCAAGAGCTGCCCATCCCTGGCCCCACTTCTGCTTTGATCTTTTCCTGGACTCTCTCAAGGTAAGGTGACATCCCTGCTCCAACATACACACACACGAAGGAGGGGCACACAGCTGAAAACTTGGATTTATCCGTTATGCCTCTTACACGTGACTGATCACTGAATCTGCTCAATTTTACTTTCTAACTATTTTGATCTCTAAATATTTCTATTTCTTCTATCTGCTTCATTCTATCTCCACCACCAACTAACTCCAAGGACTAAGCCGCCACCATGGCTTGCCTAGATTCCTGCATAGCTTTCTAAAGTACCTTTCTAAATCTGACCTTGATCCCTCCGATCTGTTTTCTACAATGCTGTGAGAGTGGTCTTTCCAAATTTAAATTGAATTACATCATCCTCTTAAAGCCACTTGTGGCCTGGCTTTCCATTTCTATTAAAGTGAAAACTCTGGCCCACCTTTGCACCTTCCTTCCCTCAGTTTTCCAAATGCTTCTGTTCCCTTTCCCTCCCTGCTGCTTGGAATACCCCCATCGCCACCATCTTTAGATGCAGCATTCAACCCAGCCCTGTGTCTCATCTCAACACCACCTGCTCATGGATACCTCCCCCGAACTCCTAGACAAGACAGTTATTTTGTTTCTGTTTATTTTTTGCTCTCCTAAACTGTGATTCTTTTTATCGAAGCACCTATCTCAGGGTGAAATTATGCATAATTTACAGTCATATTTTGATTGACAAATATATATGTCTCTTCAAAGCTGGAAACTCCTTCCTACAAAGATACCTCTATATCACCTCCACCCATATATTTGTTCCCAGAAGTGAGAATAAATTAATTGGATCATTAGTGTTCACACTTCCTCTTCCTTTGTGGCAAATGAAACATCATTATTGCATGGGGTTAAGTGCATGGAGTTTGGGGTCACACAGGCCTGGATCTCAGTCCTGCTCTCTCTCATGTACTAACTTTATGAACGTGGGCAAGTTACTTAAGCCTTGGTTCTTTTTTTTTTTTTTTCCCTGCAAAGTGAGAACAATAACTATAGCTCCTCAACTAGGTATTATTAGGATTAAGTTAAGGTAGTAAAGGGCACACAAATAACTATTATTGTTATTATTACTTTACATATATTTTAAACACAGCTATTGGAATTATTCTGCCTGACATTGTCATATAAGTCATTTTTGGAAGTGCTTTGAAGCAGATACTTTAGTAAAATAATATTAATCAATCTGCAACTGTTGTCCAACCAGGATTTGTTTTGTATTTTGCTAAGCATGAGGATTGTACTCTCTAACCTGAAACACAGGATAAGAGCGACACATTTAAGACAGAATATAATTCCTTGTCATCCTGTAACAGGAAGGACTGAGAGAATGGTAGAAATTCAGGAAAAATGGGAAACGCAGCTAATCAGAGAAACTTCCTGGAGAAATTAGAACTTACCTGAGCCAAATCTCAAGTGTGCAAAAGTTTTGAATATAGTCATCAAAGGTGAGGACTAAAGCTGATACCCAGTGCCACTTCCTACACGTGGGCTTTCCTTTAACTCTTTAAGGCAGTGGTTCTCAACCTATGGGTTGTGACCCCTCTGGAGGTCAAACGACTCTTTCACAGGGGTCGCCTAAGACCATCCACATATCAGATATTTACATTATGATTCATAACAGTAGTAACAAAAATAATTTTAGAGTTGGGGGCCACCACACCATGAGGAACTGTATTAAAGGATCGCAGCATTAGGAAGGTTGAGAGCCACTGCTTTAAGGAGTTTGGGGACGTAATTTAATCCAATCGTTCATGCATGCATTCCTTCAGCAAGTATTTTCCTTTTCTAGTTACTAGGGCTACACAGTGAACAAAACAAACCGATGGACTTCTGTATAACAAGCTGACATTGAAATGGGAATGATAGCAAAATAAAGTCAAGTGTTGTATGTGGTATGTTACACAGTAATTTTTACACATTAATCAATTTGTGTTGTTTATTAAAAGTTAAAACCTGCTGCGGAGAACACGAAAGGGAAAAATGAAGAAATTGATCTGTCAGTAGGGTTCACTGTTTCACTCATGGTTCAGGGAAGGCTTTACTATTTAGTAAGAAGCAATACTTTCTTGACTTGAGAGATGATGGTCAGAGGTCAAAGAAATAAGACATGAATATTTTTGTAGTGCAAATAAATTTGAATTAAATGAATCAGTCATGTGAGGAATGAACCAGGAGACTGAATAAAAGGCAACTTGAGGGGTGTCGGCTCCTTTAACCAAGACCCTGAGGATTGGAGTAGATTAGCATTAATTTTAATTTGAATCCACTTAAGAATTTTGCACACACTCCAAGATAATTGGATATACCCCATGATTTGCAAGGCAGAGACTGGAGTTATTGCTGAAAACAAATACTCAATTGAGGTGAAGCCTTGGAATCATCATAGAGAAGCCTTGGAATCATCATAGAACATTCCCCCGGCCTGTCCCCCATCACCTCTGGTTCCATCAGGCTCCAAACCATTTCACTTCCTAAATATCTTGGAGGATACACTGGGTATCTCCCCTCCCTCTTTGTGCCACCAGGGTCCAATTTGAGCCATCGTATTTCCATGCTACCGATTCACCTGTTTCCTCTGTCTTCACCCAGGGTTTTATTTTCCAGCAAACGTATTTTCAAAGCACAAATCTTATGTAGGTAAAAAGGACTCAGAGGAAACAAGCTATCATTTCTGGAATTTATTTTGGTCATTCTCGTGGCTGTTCACTGAACATGCACTATTTTGTTTGACTTTTATAGATTTTTATAAGGATCCTTTAGGGAGGCTGTTATCAGCTTCATTTAAAGCAGCTGTTCTCAACCTGCGGGGCATGACCAATGAAAATACATCCTGCATATCAGATATTTACATTACGATCCATATAGTTAGGAAGTAGTAACGAAAATAATTTTATGGGTGGAGGTCACCACAACATGAGGAACTGTATTAAAGGGTCATGGCATGAGGAAGGTTGAGAACCACCGAAAGATATCTGCGTGCACTCATGCTGGGAAATGGCTGTGAATGAATGCACTAATCATGCATCTCTGCATCCCAGGGTTAGTTATTTCACAGGCATTGTTTGCACATGACATTTTCACAAGATCTTTTTCCTATGTGTGTGGAAATGTCTAAAGGGCTATCATGGGTGTTCAAATTACTATATGCAATACAGGGTCTTCAGCTTAGGGGGTGTCCAGAGTCCCTAGCTCGCAATCACCACGTGGTTCTTAGAGTGGGAAAACACCAAGTTTTGGGGTCTGGCCTGGAAAATTGATAAGATGTTCACTAGAAATAAAAGGAAGACATCAACACCACAGGAAGGTAAACAAGGAGGCTGATGAGATGCCAGGGAGGTGTTATGGCCCCGGGCGGCCCCCACACACTGTGCCCGACACCAGGGCTTTGAGACCCTGGCTACTGGCAGGCCATTTGCTTTGCCTGTGATTATTTTCTTTGCTTGTTTTGCTCTTTGAGATGTTTATCTATTTCAACTATAGTGAACAAAAGTAAGGAAAAAATTGTGGTCTAAGTCTGGGCCCAGTTTTCATGAGGCTACAGAGGAAATCTCTGGAAAAGATGGAAGGTTGGGCTTATCTCTCCACATGACAATGGGAATTGGAGAGAGTCAAATCAAGAAAAATAGCAACACGGGATGCAGAGAAGAGGTGAAGTCAAGGTCAATGTTTTACCCCAGAGGATTCTAGAGGAAATAACTTACTTAGAATGTCTGATATGTAAACAGTGCTCCAACATTAGGAAGGTTCACATAAGTTTTTTTGTTTGTTTGTTTCTTTGTTGTTTTTTTTTTTTTGAAACAGGATTTCGTTTTGTCACCCCTGGTAGAGTGCCATGGCATCACAGCTCACAGCAACCTCAAACTCTTGGCTCAAGTGATTCTCCCGCCTCAGCCTCCCAAGTAGCTGGGACTACAGGTGCCTGCCACAACACCCAGCTATTTTTAGGGATGGGGGTCTTGCTCTAGGCTCAGGCTGGTCTCAAACTGGTGAGCTCAGGTGATCCGCTCACCTCGGCCTCCCAAAGTGCTGGGATCACAGGTGTGAGTCACCACGCTTGTAATTTCCATAGGTTTTTGCTTCCTACTTCTTGACTAGTCAGAGAAGGCTGAGAAATGAAAGTCACATCAAAGTAACAATTTCAATGTAACCAAAATGGAAATAAATAAAGTATTTCTTAAATTCTAATGGATCAATTAAAAAATATGTATTGATTGGTAGTCTGGGTATTTTTTTTAATCTAGGTAAAATGTTCTATACCCATGCTTAAAACAGAGCAACAAAGTCAAACTAACACATACTTCCCAACGACCAAAGCCTGTGGGAATATTCCTAGGAGATTTTAGAAGGGTGCAGATGGCAGGCTCACTTCATTAGCAATCACTGCGCGGGCTCTGTGCTGCCTGGTAAAACGTGATCTAACACGGTGTGTCCTGGAAAGTCTGCATGCATTTTTAGTTACTGAAGGGGAACAGCTCATCTCATGGTGGAGTTTAACCCCTTAGAGAGCAGTGTGACAAGGGGACTCACTGAAGGGCCAGCAGGGAGTCCCTAGGGTATTTGGGGATGCTCTAGATACTGCCCTGAGGATATATCTAAACAAGCCCATCTTAAAAACTATCTGGGGAAGACTGTTTTCTATTTTATATGAAAATGTTCACATACGTTTCATCCCCAAACTTGACTTTAGGCAGAACATGGGGGGAGGAAGAAAAAATGAATGGTTTAAAATAATGTGTGTATGTATATATATATATACACACACACACATACATAATATATACGGTGGCCATAAAGTTCATGTGCAATTTAAAATTACACACGAACTTTATGGCCACCCTGTACACACACACACAGGTAACACACACTCATACGTATATTATACTGGGACATATCACATGTAGTCAAATTCTGTGATGCATACTTGTGCTTTCTTATAGGTGGTTATGCAAATTAACTAAAAACACACTCATATCTAAATAAATGTGTACTTACCAGAAACACTGCTATAGATATTCCAACCAGAAAGCCGGCTATCACATCTGACCAGTGATTTCGATATTCGGCTACTCTGTTGAGTCCAGTAAGAAAGGCCAAACACATTAAGCCCAAACACAGAACTGGCTTAGCCAGTCTGGTTCCTTTGGCTTTGATTGTGTTGGTAATGTACATCTGAAATATTAAATAAAAAGAATAACATTTTAGGAAGGCATTTCCTTTATAAGCACAGCATATTTTTTATGTGTACACATAGATATCTATAGACATACATGTATAGCTATATGGTTCAAATGCTTAACTATAGTTTATGGACTTTTGATGGAAGTTGTTTAAAGTAGGATCCAAAGGTTGCAATTTTTTAATTTTACTTACCTCATATGGCAATTTCTTACTAATGGCCAATTCTCTCGTAACACTGTTAAATCATCTAAGAACACTGAGCATAAATATATATATATATATCTTGCAGTTTTTGGCCGGAGCTGGGTTTGAACCTGCCATCTCCAGCATATGGAGCCGGTGCCCTACTCCTTTGAGCCACAAGCGCCGCCCAGCACAAATATTTCAAGTGATCCTTTTTGTTTTCACTTTTACTGTACCTATTCTTGGTTTTATCTGAATTTTTATTTTAGATCAATCTCAACAGTATCGTTAGTAGGGAAAAACGAATGAGGTGTTTTAATGGTTATATTTATATATGCCATATTGAGAGGATACTTACTTGATAAAACCAGAACTGTGATATAGCTAGAAAAAATAAAATGGAGTACATATATACCAAATAGATGTTACTCTGAAGAAAGAATTTAGGTTCATTGCAGTGCCAAGGTTTGCTTTTATGCTGTCATCTGAAATTATGAAATCACTTTAACTAAATTTTATTAGCCAGAATTATGACACCCCAAAACTTAAGTACAACAAGGGAAATGTGTCAACTAAAACCAAAACAAGGCCAGGCATAGGTGGCTCGTGCTTATAATCCCAGCACTGTGGGAGGCCAACGCAGGAGGATCACTTAGGCAGAACATAGGGGGGAGGAAGAAAAAATGAATGGTTTAAAAAGTGTACGTATATATATATGTACACAGCAAGACCCTGTGTCTACTAAAAATAGAAAAATTAGCGAGGCATTGTGGCAGGTGCCTATATTCCCAGCTACTCAGGAGGCTGAGGCAGCAGGATCACTTGAATCCAAGACTTTGAGTTGCTGTGAGCTAGGCTGAGGCCACAGCACTCTAGCCTATGGCAACAGAGGGAGGGTCTGTCTCAAAAATAAATAAATAAAATAAAATAATAAAAAATAAAACCAAAGGAAAACAGTGAATAGATACCTACGTTTTTTGGCACCTTCACATATGATAATGAAGAATAAATAATGCCAACTGATTGTCATGAATGAAATTTCTTTAAGTTATGAGCCACGAGGCTCAAGAAAAACTTGGTCCTTCCCCATGTGATTTATTCTATGGCTCAATTGTTCATAATTTAAACCATGTATTACTCTATCAGTGAATGTGTTGACTACAAGTGGAATCTGTCAATTATTATTTCAAATCGTTAGTAGAGCAATTATAAAAGACATGACTTTGAAGGTACAATCAGATTTTATGCTATCGATGTCAGTGACTGGTACTGAAAAAACACTCAGAAAAATACTGAGAAATACATCTAAGCCCTTGACTATCATTTTCCGTGAAGTAAGCAATAGATCTGCCTAAGGAAACCAGCATCAGGGTTTAAATTTTTAGTCCACAGTAGTTATTATTTTAGTAATTATTTCAGTAATATTAGTAATTATTATATTTTCTCCATTTTTCTTTCCTGGACCAAGTTTAAAGCCCTTTCATCTGCCAAAAGAAGCAGTATGAATATTTTAAAAGTTAAAGTGATACAAGGCTTCTCTCTAAGCAAGTTCTAGACTTTTGCAATCTATCTCAAGTCCCAATACTCCAAGGGAAAAATAAAAGCTGATTGTCTCCATAGTGGCCCTTGACCTTTAGAGTGAGGTCTGTGTATTCTATGTCTGTGCTTAGAGAACTTAATAATTTCAGTTTTGAAGGATAAGTATACAGGAGAAGGAAACAAGAGGGGATGAGAAATAGAAAATGATGCTGTTGCCATTGTGAGACAATGTGTTCAAGACGTCTGCCTACATGAGTAACAAACAAGGGGAGAATATTACTGCACTTCAAATTCCCCGGGAGGCCGCTGATAAAGTAGTTCCTTGAACGGTGAGTGCCCATGAGTAGACAGTGAAATTCATGGTGCTTGTAAGAGTAACACATTATAAGGTTGGTTAATGATTTCTACCTTTGCATTTATTCACATCTGTCAAAACGCTAAAGATATCCTCTGCTCATTAAGACAAAAGAAATGTGTGATGGTAACTGAATAATATTAATAATATTAATTGTAGCTACCAGTTAATGAGTGATCACTGTTCAAGACAATGTTGTAAGCATTTTACATTAATTATCCCATTAAATTCTCAAAAACAGCTCTCTAGTTATTATTATTGCCTTCATTTTATAGATGAAAAACTCAAGTCCAGATGAAGCTATGATGAAGACCATGCATGCTTGCTGGTTGGGCATCACTACTGAGAAGAGGAGGAAGGAATGGAAGGAAGTCGGGCGGCACAGAGGCACCTCTCAACCGTCCTTTCTTATTTCTTCACTGATTTCTTGGCTGGAGGAAATCAATGAACATAAGTAGTGTATCATTGAATGCAAGAGGACTGGAGTTTAAGATAGGAGAAAGAAGGCCACCATGGTATCGTAGAAATACTGCTGCATTCACGTGTTGTTATTAGGGAGTAGAAAGTACTGTTCTATGTGGCCTGTGTGTACAACCTCCTAGATGGCTTTGGAAAAATGTTTGCCTTCCGCTTATCCCTAAAGGCCACCATCTCCGATACAGCCCAGCCCTTATTTTTTCAGGTTGTGTAGGCACGTGGTAACCCATAGAAGTTTCTCTTGAATGTTGAGTTGAGTCCTCAATTGCAGTAATGACACAGGCAAAGTTTATAGGGAGCCAAAAGAGAGTCTGACCACAGTGAAAATGCATGAACAAGCTCCATATTAGGAAGAGCCTGGGATTTAGCTATTCCTCCAACAGGTACACATATGACATCCAGACCCAGAGTGGGGAATGAACCGTTATTCCCATAACCCTGAATTTAAGGGTTTCATGGGAATTTCAAGGGCTACAGATTTAATGTTTAAGGTGGATCACAGCACTACTTTATAATGCATAGATTTTTCTGGAGCTTAATAAGTTGACAGGAATGTCACAAAAGAAGACACAGAGTATTTTCATTTGTGCTTAGCAACTCTTTAGTATGTCATGAATACACAAGAAATACCTTTTAACCAGTCTAATTGTGTTATCCTTACAGAAAGTCTATCATTTCTAATTTGCAGAAGAGGAAATTATGGCATAATAATCTATTAAGCAAGTTGGATACAGGACAGGAATCAATTATTTATGCTCTCTTGGTTTTTAATTCACTTAAGAAACCATCTAGGATAACCAGATGTCAAAATGTGGCTAAAATAAAAACACAAACAGAAGGGCAATTTGAGCAGGATGGTAATTATTCAGTCCTCTGGGGTCGGTGGATGCTCAGGACCTTACAGGCCAACCTGTTTAGCCATTATTAGCAGTCTCCACTCATCCATTCTCTCTGGGTTGGTTTTTTTTTTTTTTTTCTGAGACAGAGTCTTACCCTGTTACCCAGGCTAGAGTGCCATAGCATCATCATAATTCACAGCAACCTCAAACTCCTGGGCTCAAGTGATCCTCCTGTCTCAGCCTCCCATGTACCTGGAACTACAGGCATTTGCCACAACACCCAGCTAGTTTTTCTATTTATTTATTTATTTATTTATTGCAGTTTTTCACTGGGGCTGGATTTGAACCTGCCACCTGCGGCATATGGGGCCGGCGCCCTACTCCTTTGAGCCACAGATGCTGCCTGTAGTTTTTCTATTTTTAGTAGAGAGGGGGTCCTGCTCTTGCTCAAGCTGGTTTTGAACTTCTGAGCTCAAGTAATCCATCCACCTTGGCTTCCCAGAATGCTGGGGCAGCTGGCCAATTCATCCATTTTCTCTTGGTGTTAATATCCATCAGCACTGAGATGGAGAAAGCCAAAGCTGAACATTTGCTCCCTGGTGTATTTTCTTCTGATACAGGACAGGTGGAGCCCCAGCCAGCTCAGCCTAGCTGAGCTGGAGGACCTGCCACCTCCGCCGTAGCGGTGTTGGTGCTACGGTGGCGGCTGGCAGAGGAACCAGCTGGCTGGAGCATAGGCAAGGGGAGGGGGAACCTCCCTCCCCCACTGGAGGCTCCAGTAGCCAAAGGGACTGGACAACTGCTGGGGAGACACCAGCACCTTGGTGTCTCCTTTCCCTTTACACTTATGACAAAATACAGAACCCCCATTTCCTATGCCTAGGTCAATTTCATGTAAGTTTCCTAGGCCTCATTTCCGTGAATGGACTGTGTCCATTCATTAATACATTCATTCACCTTGCCCCAGCGGAAGGAACTATGTTCATTCTTTACTACATTCATGCACCTTGCCCCAGCGGAAGAGACTGTGTCCATTCATTAGTACATTCATTCACCTTACCCCAAAGGAAAAGATGTTGTCCATTCATTAGCGCATTCATTCACCTTGCCCCAGCGGAAGGAACTATGTCCATTCATTAGTACATTCATTCACCTTGCCCCAGCGGAAGAGACTGTGTCCATTCATTAGTACATTCATTCACCTTGCCCCAGTGGAAGGAACTATGTCCATTCATTAGTACATTCATTCACCTTGCCCCAGCGGAAGAGACTGTGTCCATTCATTAGCGCATTCATTCACCTTGCCCCAGTGGAAGGAACTATGTTCATTCATTAGTACATTCATTCACCTTGCCCCAGCGGAAGGAACTATGTTCATTCTTTAGCACATTCATTCACCTTGCCCCAGCGGAAGAGACTGTGTCCATTCATTAGTACATTCATTCACCTTGCCCCAGCAGAAGGAACTATGTCCATTTTAGTACATTCATTCACCTTGCCCCAGCGGAAGAGACTGTGTCCATTCATTTCCTGGCCTCATATAGAAGGAACCCATGCACCTATATATACCACTAAATGGAGAGAGAGATGGAGAGAAA